AAAAAAAAAAAAAAAATACCAAAAGAGTACCCAAATTAAAATCTACAGAAATATCAAAGAAAGTACCCAAAAGCTGTCATTAAAAAGCAAACGGCGAATCAAAATCCACATACAATTAACAAACAAGACAAATCTAAAAGTTGGAAAATAAATTAAAATGTACTCATATATACAAGCACACACAAGTGGAGACTGAAAGTGAACACTTACGGATAAGATTTTTTTTCCAGATGAAATCACCAAATTTTAGACTGTAGCCCTAATTTTACGAACAACGTGAAGAGAAGGAAGCCGTGAGATCCCGACGGTCTTCACCGGCAGCCCGAAATTCTAGTACACCCTTATCTCCCCTTCAACACTCGCAGCCAATGTCACCATCCCCCACGTTGCGCCTGAAAGATCCAGATTTTTGTCTTGGCCATCGAAGCAAATTCAGTATGTTGGAGGAAAAGAAGAGAGGTTTTTGTGGAGAAGATTGTGACCATTGGGATGGTAGGTGATTTTGTTGGATATCAGGATATCGCTGACCCGATTTTTTGGTAATAACTTGTTACATTCTCATTTTAGGTATAATTATAATATTTATGGTTTTGTTAAGTGATTTTATAATTAAGAATATAATTAGTGTAAAAGTGTAATATTAATTATATGTAATAGTAAGGGGTGCAAATTCCTCTACTTCCAATAGTTAATTAGGACTTTGGGCCTTAGTTAACTTAGAATTTCAATATTGGATCTTGAACGCTCTCCAATACTTCATTTTCATGAAAATACACTAAAATTATGAAAAATAAGACATAAAAACTAAAAACTTAGGTATCCAAATATATGAATTAAAATGGTTTTATTAACAGTGATATTACACCAAGAGATATCAGATCTCAATTGTGTTTTTTAAAAAAAAAAAAAATGGTTGATCTAATTGGGATATCACATATTCACATTTTTCGTTCATCACCAATTATTGAAAAATAAAATAAAAAAAACATATATTTTTAATTAATAGTAAGAGTATGTACTACGTAGTCAAATTTATTTTTATTCTTTAATTTTGTTGCAAGACTTTCAACCACGCGTGCTAAAAAAAAAAGAAAAAAAAATCACGAAGTCAAAAGCTGGCTCTTGGCAAATTGTGAGTTGACTTTTAAATAAAAATAATAGATAGCAAATTGTTATAACGGTCACTACTACAAGAATAATCATTTTTAACCAAATAATTACTTGGTTAGCAAATTTGACTGATTAAACGTTTAAATTGGATTCAATTAGCTAATTTTACATGTAAATAAAGTTCAATCAGTCAATTTTACATCGATCTGCTAACACTCAAACGAGTTCACTAATTCTAAAAGTTACAGTTGTAATATATATATATATATATTTTGTGAAATGTTACGGTCTCATTACGGAATCATTTCGTCGGGGTTTGTAATCGTTAGATCATCATGTAACCGTCAAATATAGTTGATCTAACAGACCGAATGGTTAGTATTTTCCATATTTTTTCTATTAAAATAACTTAACTGTGATAAGTATTCGTGATTATATGTAACGAAGATGAAGACGAGTAAAAGCATAAGAGTGTGAACAACATGCAACAAATCATCAGCCAAAGCAGTATTTAAATAAGAAAACCAAACAGTATAATATATTATAATATGTAATTATATATAAGAAAACATAACATGTGTAAAAAAGTAAACTACCCCCGATTAACTGTAAAAAGATAAGGTGAAAAAAACAAAGCAAAAAGAGAAAAAACAAAGCCAAAAAAAAAAGCATGCATACTAACTACATAGGTAAGCTGGATATCAACATATCCTTATTCCATTCTCATTAATTATTGTATCTTTGTTTCTTTCTTTCACCATGCCTCTGTATCGGACCAAAATGGCTTTAGGGGGTAGTTTTCGACTTCGAAGACATAAAAATTCTTCGTAAGAAGCTTCAATAAAGGGCCGGGCCTGGGGCTGGGGCTGGGCTCGGGCCCTCAGTCAAGTAAATTTCTTCGGTTTGAAAGCTGTTGAGCTCGAGCATCCCACGCCGTGCGCCCGAGCGCTGCATCTCGCAGAATTTTGGAATGTACACACCTGCAAATATCGATTTTTCCCCCGATTATAAATTTAAAACGTCCAACAAAAACTTACCAATTTTTATCTATTTCTCCTTTTAAAATGTCAAATTTAATAATCAAGTAAATATTTACAAACTAGTTATTCGCCTGGTCAATATGTAATATTTAAATTAAGTTACCTCGAGTAGCCAGCCAGGGTTCGATCCATGTACCTCGCAGTTATTTAATCATATTCTTATAATTATATATATATTGATTACAAATGAATTAAATAATATTAACCTTCTCCGGCGGCTAGGTTGAAGTAGAGGTCGACGATGTTGGGGCAGTTTTTGTAGCACGGCTCGGAGCAGAACTTGTCGACGAAGTTGCGGTCGAGGAGGGAGTCAGAGGAGATGCCGAGTGCCCTCATGTCGACCCCACATGCGGTGACGCACTCCTCAGTCTCGATGTAGTTGGTGAGCTGGTTGGATGCCGTGATCTCGGACGTGCGACATGTGTACTCGTCCGAAGACCCAAGCTTCCGCAGGAAGCTGCGGCTCTCGAGCACGCAACGGTTGCCCGTGGACGAGACTGCGAATGCGCACGAGTTCTCGTTCAGGTCTTCGCAGTGGATGTCGCCTTCACAGAGAGAGAGAGAGAGAGAGAGAGAGAGAGAGAGAGAGTGAGAGAGATTAGTCTCAAATAAAATGAGCAAATACTAGTGAATGTGAATGACTTACCAAGAGTGCCTTGGATGGAGATGGCTAAGGCAAGAGTTATGGCCAAAAGTGATGTTGGTGCCATTTTTTCTTTTTTTTTTTTTTGGTGATATGGAATTTGGTATTGAGTTGCAAATTGATCTTGGCTTTGGCTTCACTTTTGGTGTGTTTATGGTTTGTGCCTTGAGTAGCTTATGGTGAGGCATGCTATTTATAGAGTGTGTGGTGAATATGGGAAGCCGATGTAAATTTATTTTTAGCACCCTAAATTTATCTAATTTTTTACTTTTGGAACCTCAAACTTTTGGCTTTTGGTATCCTAATTAATTTCATCCGTTAATTATTATAGAAACAAATATTTCTATGAAGCATGTCTTCTTAGTCTTCTTATAGTGCAACGAAACAATGTCCTCATTGTCGTTAAAAATTTTGTTTGTTTAATTTTCAATAGTACAATGTTTGGACAGAAAATTGACATGTAATTTTGTATATTTTGAAAGATTATGCTATCTAAAAATACATTTTACTGAAAATTTAACCGATTTAGTAAATCTTTGTTGAATCAACAGAATGTACGATTATCGAATAAAAGTTAAGATATCGATTAAATTAATTAGTATTTAGAATAGTAAAATCGAAAATTTAAATAACTAAACCCTCGATGCAAATTTTTTTTTCAACCTACTTTCGGTAAAAGGTTAGGCAAATTAAGCATTGATTTAAGGCTTAACCATAGGACAGTACTTAAGAATTAGGAGATAATATTCAAACAAAAATATGATTATCTTTGAAACTTATAATTTTTCAAAAATAAAAAATACACTATTCTTCCACAACCCTCGCGTGATTGACTTGAAGCATTTATTTTATTTTTATTTTTGTTCTAAAACTGTACTGTTCAGAAATCACATTATTCCACTGATCACTCGTATTCGTCAGAGTTGTCAAGTTAATTACATTTTGCCATCATATATATTATTATTATGCCTGTCTTTAAATTTTACTTTTACCATCACGAATTAGGACTTTTACTTTGGACTCTTCTTAATAATTATTTTAAATTTAATTTTATCATTATATTTTTTTTTTTGGTAAATTTTATCATTATATTTAAAAATGTGCGAAATGAAAGAAGGTGCGCTTAATTGGCCTTGATTGATGCTTAATTATTAATTATTTTAATAATCAATTATTTTAATTTCATTTCGTACGTCAAATCGATGATTAGATTTTATTTGTCTGGCTTAATATATGACATACTAAATCTTTTATTTGAAAGGTATATAAGTTAGGACTAAAATGTCCCATTGCATAATAGTTAAGTATTTACTTAAAAAAAAAAAAAAGAAGGAGAAATCACAATTTCCAAATTAAGGGTATATATACATATATAATCATAAATTGACTTTACTTACATATTTATTATCAATCAACTATTTGTTAAATTATTTAATAATTGAAATAAAATTCAATTTGTGCAAAATATTATGTATTATTCCGCAAAATTTATTGTTACACTCTTTAAATTATTCTTAAATTTTACACTATCAACGACAGAGTTTCCCCTTCATCCCAATGAGGGTATTTATAATTATGAATATATTGCTCAAAAATTAGTAAATTTTAAAACAATTAAGTTGAATCACATAGACCATGACGGGTTGTGAAATTAACTGTACATGCGTATAATTTTTTTTTATTATTATTATTATTATTATTATTATTATTATTATTATTATTATTATTATTATTATTATTATTATTATTATTATTATTATTATTATTGTGA